AGGAAGGTGAAATACTATACAGGTTTTGCTATTTAACTTTTTCAAAGCTCTGTATTTATTTCAGTGCAGTCAAAAACCTCTCTGAGTCGTTGGGTTTATGGGCTGCGCCTGCCAAGAAGGACGACTTCTGCCTTTGCAGCCTTTTTGTGCGAAACAGGGATGAGAGCTGTTCCTCTCTTGTCTTCACCAGGATCGCAATATGATTCTTGGGAAACACGGCTTCTTCGTGAACCCCTCCGACTCCGTCGCTGTCATCGCTGCCAATATTTTCAGTATCCCATATTTCCAGCAGACCGGAGTCCGTGGCTTTGCCCGGAGCATGCCCACCAGTGGGGCTCTCGATAGGTAACGTCTGCCTCCGTGCACGGTGGTGGAGGGGAGGGGAGGGGAGCCCTGCCAAGGAGAGGGGCTGTCCCTGCTTTTGTCTGTAGTGGGGAGCGAGTGCACGGTCCTCCTGAAAGGGTGAGGCGGTGCCAGGGCTGCTGCGGGCTGGCTGCCAGGGGACGCCGTGGAGTTTAATGAATTAAATTCTGTTTGGGGACATGGCAGAGCTGGGCTCTGCTCTTCGCTTTCTCTTCTCTGCAGATAAGCCCAAACGAATGATCCTTCCAGCCCTTTTTTTCCTTTAATTTGATGGCGGTACTTTCTTTGTTAAATGCTTTGAGATTTACAGCTTGAAATTGCTGTAGAAGAGCTATGTGTTTCTATTTATTCTTTAGTCGCGCATCCCACCTATTCCCCAAACGTTACAGGGGATCAAATAGGGGATTGCTGTACCAAGAATTGCTCGTTGTGAAAAACCCAAACAGTGGCATGACCTGCCTTCAGTGTTGCCCCAAAAGAGGTGCCTGGTAGCAGCTGAAGCTCCGACTGCAGTACGTTCACACGGGAGCGCTCAGAGTCCAGCTGTGATGTGACTGAGCCTTCTTACCTTTTGAAGGGTGGCCCATGCTACAAAGATTGCTTTGTATGAAACTCCAACTGGCTGGAAGTTCTTTGGAAACTTGATGGATGCAAACAAACTGTCTCTGTGCGGAGAGGAAAGTTTTGGTACTGGTAAGTCGGCGTTCCTGATTTCAGCAATGATGGTATTATTCCTCCTCTTAGTTCCTTGTTGTGTTGGGTGGCTTGGGATTTATCTTTCACGTGTAGTTGTTAATGCTTCTAAAATAATAAAATAAATAAAAGAATCACCGGTGGAAATGAACACAATGCTAAAAGTTTTGTGGGGCAAGAGCTAGTTCTCTTCACAGTTATTTAGAAAGGCATATGTAGATAGGCAGGAAGTTTAAGGGCCTCTTTACTAGCCCGGTCATTGAGTCTGTGGGGATTAAGTGCAGTGTTAAATGTATTTTTCAACTCTTGGTGGCCAGGAAAACCTTCTAAATGTTTTCATTTCTGGAAAGAAATATGGTTTGCAGCATGCAGTTTTATTAGGGAAGGTTTCAGGTCACTATTAAATCTCTGAGCTTAATAGGGCCCTCATTTTCCTGTTCTAAAAACAAGGTATGATTTATAAAGTTTAAATTAACACTTGCCTTTGAACAGTCTGAGCAAGTTATTAGGTTACTGAGAAACAAAGTGAACATCTTACAGAATTTACTAGGGGTGTGCACGTGACACAGAACTATTATTTGTGCAGGGAAGTCCAAGTGAGCAGATTTTGCTCCGCACCGGAGCGACGTGCTCGAAACGCACAGCGTTCCCGGGAGGCCTCAGCAGTTTCTGAGTTCTCCCGTGGCATCTGCCACGTGGTTTTAATGTCCTGACTGTGGAAACGAGACCTTCCCTGTGTGCAGGAGGTCAGCACCTAATTTGTGCACAGAGGCTAAGTTTTATCTGGTCTGAATTCTCCTCCAGATCTCGTTTTTCCTCTTCTCTAAAGAAAGACCAGGGGCAGCTGGTAGGATATGCGAGACGCGGGGTCTTGGGGGAATTCAGGTTGGATTGTTTCAGGCTCAAACCTTGAGTGCTTTCATTCCACCACCCCATATTTCAGAAAAAAAACCATTTTAGTCTGCACCGGGGTGTTTCGCAGAGCAGAGATGGCCTTAAATCCCCAAATGCCTGAAATGAAGTGCTTTGTGGAACTGGGGTATGTAACTTGACGTGCAAGGATTACCCCAGCTTTCCTGGCGCTGAGGGAATGGCATCACAGGCTCTGGTTGAAAGCAGTTTGCTGCGGGGCTGAAACAGGCTTCACTGGCAATATTTTCGCAATCGAGGGCTATTCTGATACACAGGGTTTGGCCTCAGGTTGGAAGGAAAGGGGAATTTCGGAAAATCTGGTATTCTGTAAAGAAATCTGTAAGTAAATCGTGAGTGAAGAAGGATTTTGGAGTTCTGCCCTGAATGATTTCAGCATGCGTTAAGTTTATATTCTGGACTTTGCCTGATGAGAGGGCACCAGCATTTCAGTAAATAAATAAAAACAAAAAGCAGCAAATGATTCATGGAGCTGCTGATAGGAGATGGTCTCTAACGAGCGGCTCGCTCAAATTGTTTCCATCTTTTATCGTATGAGCAATGAGCTCATAGTTTCTCTCCGTCCCCCGGTAGGTAAGTGACTCGACATTACGGATAAAAAGGATTCCGTTTGCAGCAGGGACTGAGGGAGAGGTTTGGGATTTTGGCCATGCAGCATCACATCCGAGTGGCCAGGGACCGAAGCACTTCCAGGGGGGAGAGATGAAGAAAGGGCCCAGGAGTGTTGGACTCCCCCCACAACGCAGAGGGGGTTTGTCCATCTGGCAAATGAACTTTAAGGAATGAAAAGGGGTGAGGGAGGTTGTTCAATAGTAAGTTAGTGAGGAGTTGTTTGGAGCCGGACAGAATGTGAGTGCTGAAGGGGAGAGAGGTGAAGGAGCAGCCAAATAGAGTCAGGAAAAATTGAAACAAACTGTGACCCGGTGAGACTGGAGTCCAGGAGCAATTAGAGTAATGCAACGTGACAGAATTCCTGCTTGCTTTCTTGGGTGTTTTATTCCAGCAATAAGTTGATACATCGCATGGGACTTCTGTTTGTTTAGCATTCCTCTCCATCACCTCTCTACAGCTCTCTCCGCTGTAAAGGACCCTGCGGATAATTTATCGCAGCGTCCACAATAGTGGGATTTGTGTAAAGCGCCACGTAACCCGTGCCCCAGCCCCCAGCCTTTCTCCCCAGACGATTGCCCACTCTGGCAATTCTTGGGAGAGTAGAATGGCAGTTCTGGAGTGCTCCCTGCGTTAGCAGGCTTACCCTGGCTCCTTGGGATCTCATTAATAGCTGTTTGGAGGTTTTCCAGAGCTCAGAGGGTAAAACTCAGGAGCTGTGCATCTGGGGCACAGCACTGAACTGGCGAGCCAGAAGCGCGGAGGCTGGGTTGGATGTATTCCGGGCTGCCATTCGATCCCTCGGTTAATTTGGGTGCTCAGGGTGCTGTCTAAGTTGCGACACCCTCTCGTGTTTCCCGAGGGCCTGGGTGCTGCGCGGCCCCTGCTGCGCCGCCGGCGGCCCCGCTCCAGTATGCTCCCAGAGCCGGGCTGGGCTGCCCTCCGACAGCTTCCTGCTCTCCGAGCAAGGCTGGCTTTGGAGGAATCCTCTTCTAGCCAAAACAGGGTCTTCCACAGGCTTTCGTGGGAGTGAGAGCCGGCACGGGTGCTCTGCTGGTTTCTGCCTGTGAATGGAGTCCCTCCTTTGCGATGCAAGGAGCTGCTCCTCTTCCCATTGCGGTGCAGTTCTGGAGTCGTTAGGGTTTGGCTTCCTTAGTGAGGGCTGACATTTTTCTTGGTGCTCAGCCAGAATATGTGCTGATCGGAGCACGCTGGTTTGGCAGACGGTGTGTGACAGCTGCTGGAAGAGGTTGATGTTACTCCTTCCTGAGCTGTTCCTTTGCATTTGCTTTTTTTTTTTTTTTGATGATGACCTTTTTACTGTGCGTTCTCCATTACTTCCTTGGGAACAGAATTAAGGATCTGTGAACAATGAGTGCATGTGTTGGTGTGTTAAAAGAGGCCGAATGTTTTATTTGGGCTCTAGCTAAAAGCAGATGATATCTTGAACCGTTTTAACGATACAGCTCGTGAAATGCCTTCCATTTGTGAGTTTGTACGGCTGCCAGTTGGATGGAGGAGAGGAGACAAGGCAGGGCCGGAGCGCAGACTCTCGCGTGAAAGGAGGTGGGAAACGTGTTTCTGCTGTGGCTCTCTGCAGGCTCCGACCACATCCGTGAGAAGGACGGGCTGTGGGCTGTCCTGGCTTGGCTGTCCATCCTAGCCACCCGCAAGCAGAGCGTGGAGGACATCATGAAGGATCACTGGCAGAAATATGGCAGGAACTTCTTCACCAGGTGAGGAGAGCGCTCCGGATGCCTGACACTTACCTCCGTCCTGTGTTGGACCCTCCAAGGTCAGAGCCCTAAGCACTGGTGGCATTAGTGTGTGCTGGTCCTGCCTCCTTACACTTGCTCTTTCCATGGTGTTGCAGTAATTTAAAACTCCCTGAGCAGTTTGCTGCAGCGTGCAACAGATCTGAGTTAAGTAAACCAGTGGGTATTCACCTTAACCTTTCACCATGTCCAGTTCAGGATTCGTTATTCTGGACATAAATCTGGCAAGTATCAAAGTCTGCAAAAGCTGTACATTTTATACATGCAAGGTATCTTCTTTTAATGGAGACTTTTTTCTTGCAAGAGTCCTTTCTGCCATTGGAACAGCGTGTTTCTTGAGACCACAAATCACAAGTTAATTTGTAGTATCTTCAGTGGTGGCAATGTCTTAGTGAACACCTGCCCAGCTCCTAGGCCATTATTTATCTGGTTGAGTTTCTGTCCCGTCCCAAAATACCCTAATTTAAACTGCAGTAGACATGGAAGATAAAAAGGGAAGGAGGAAGAACTAACCTGCACGTAAGCAGAGGTGGGAACGCTGTCAGGAGGGAAAGCATTAGGCAGAAATCTTTCAGCTTGGAAGACCTACATGAAAATTCTGTCTCAAACTGCCAAATGAAAGAATTTGCCTTTTTTTTTTTTTTTTCCCCTTTTTTTTTTTTTCCCCCCACACCACAAAGCCAGCGCACATCTGAGGCATTCAGACCTGTGGAAAAAATGCCAAAGTCTGGAATAAAAAGGCAGTCTTTTAGCACCAGAAGTACATCTGCACAGCAAGCCGAGGGCGACGGCAGGCAGGTTAGCGAGCCCATGCGCGCTTCATCCAAATCGAAGCGGCGCGAATCACGCCGGCAGTCGGAGGGCAGAGTCTCGGATCCCGGTGTGTGCTTCTGCTGCCTCTTACCCAGGCTGCTGAGATCAAAGCTGGCACTGGTGTGCCATCATGTGCTGCAGTCATCGTTTTGCTGCGGGGCCGCGCATGAGGCAAAATTGTTATCGTGAAGAACCTGTTGAGATCCCGTTGGCAGAACTCGGCTAAATTCTTTGCAGTCAGTCTGACCCTCTGTCTTGGATATTCCTGGCACAAGACAGCACAATTTGTGCTTTCATCTCTCCTGATGCCCAATGCCTGGGATACCTTGTGGTGTATCCCACGGGCTTGTATTGGATCGTAGCTACGTTGCTGCACGCGGATCCTCCTCTCTTTTCTTCCTTCCTTCCAGTAAGGGAGTAGAGAACATCTGTGACGCAAACACAAAGCATTGCTACTCGTTACAGCCTCCCCTTCCTCATCTTTCTTTTGTGGTGGCTGGTTGCAGATACGACTACGAAGAGGTGGACGCGGATGCAGCTAACAAAATGATGAAGGATTTGGAGACGGTGATGTTTGACCGCTCCTTTGTGGGGAAGCAGTTATCGAGTGGCGACAAAGTCTACACGGTGGAGAAAGCCGATAATTTTGAGTACAACGATCCCGTGGATGGAAGCGTCTCTAGAAACCAGGTGGGCATTGCCTTGCCGGGGCTGAACGTGACCTCAGAGGGGTGTTGCACTGGGTATTTGGGGCTTTATCTTTGTCTGTTGCATTCACACCTGCTTTAAACTCAAAACATTGCGTTTGTCCCTTGGAAAATTTTGTTCTGCCCTGTGTTTGCTGGTGGGATCTTGCCCTGTGTGAGGGAAACTGCTGCCTTGGAGAGGGAAGGGTCTGGAGGCTGCTGCAGCCCCAGCAGGGCCCGGAGGTGGAGCAGAGCTTCCCTGCAGCCACCCTGAAGGGTAAGGAGTGAGTTGAGGGGGGATCCTGCGGGCGATGGGTAAGCAGCCGAAAAAAGAGTTTGTGCTGAGTGTGAAGGGTTGAAACCCCACTGGAGCACGAGACCTTCCCGTTCAGGTATCGTCTGTCTCTAGCACTAGAACCCCCAGGTTGCTGCGAGCAAATCCTCCTTGTCCCTGCGCTGGTGGCTCCTCGTGTGCGTGTCCCTAAGAGGGCAGGCGGCAGGGCAGAGCAGCTGGAATGGGGGATTGAGTTCCAGGCTCCAGAAATCACGGGGGGTATTAAATACGTGTGAGATGAGTAACCTGTCACCAGAGATTATTGAAATAAAAATGCCCTCTAGATGGATTGGTTTGATAACACGATGTGGAAGCGTAGTAAGCGGGAAGGAATAATGGAGAAATCCTGCAGGAATGATTGCCTTGCCTGTGGGATGACGGGAGCGTTTGCTTTATGTCCTGTTTTCGTGGAAGAGCAGTGGGTTGGTAATGCTGTGTCTGACAGAGAAGCAGTCCCTGGCCCTTGCTTCCAAGCAAGCACAGGGGTGAGGGACCTTACAACAGCAACGCGCCCTGTGTCCAGGAGCTCTAGCAAGTTCTCCCGAGTGAGTTAGGAGGGACACTAGCTCCTCCAGGAGCGGGGAGGGGATAACAGAGGAGCCTTCTGTGGCTCCTTCAAGAGGAGGAGCTCAGGGATCACACAGGCCGGGCATAGCCGTGCCGAGTCTCATGGAAGATGCGTTGGGTACCCAAGAGCCGTGGAGCTGAAAGGCCCTTCTCCCCTTCTCTCTACCAGGGCTTGCGGCTGATCTTCTCCGATGGCTCCCGCATCATCTTCAGGCTCAGCGGTACCGGCAGTGCTGGAGCAACCGTGCGGCTGTACATCGACAGCTACGAGAAGGATGCTCAGAAGATACATGAAGACCCACAGGTGAGCGTTGCATCTCCGTCATGGCACTGCTGGCTCCCAGCCTGCCTGAAAAGCTGAAATCTGCTTGGCCCTGCTTTGCTTAGGGCTGTGTGGAGGTGCTAGGTGTTTTGGAAGCAAGGGCTTTGGTGTCTTTAATCTCAGTATAAACAGCTTTATTAAGAAAAAAGCCCTGTGTGGAACAAGTGTTGCTTAGTCAGAATCCCTCACAGCTGCTCCTGCAGTCGCACGGTAGTTTTCCTGTTTGTTTGTTACCTCTGTGG